TAATAATTTTTTTTATATTGATAGCTTTTTATCTTATTTAATTATTCTATTATAATAATAAATGTACAAATAATTGTGCAATATGTACAAATTAAATGATCGTTCTACAATAAGTTTTTATACAAGCACATACAAAATTCTATAATCAAATAATTAAATATAATCAGATACATATATACAAAGGATTATCTATACAATTGAAAATTATTTATAAACTTATTAAAAATTACAATAATTATTAATTGCGATTAACAAATATACATGAAAGATTTAGTATTTTGTGTAATTATGTTTCGATGCAATTAGAAAATCTTAATTTTACGCACGTTTAAATCTAATGTTACAAAAAATCCATATAACTGTAAGTCCTATATAATTCAAAGTGCATGTATAAAATGTCATAAAATCTTTTTGTTTGCAATATGTATAACAACTAATCCATTTAATAAATAATACATTTAAAATAATGCATTTTACATTTAGTATACATAACATTAAATAATAATGGAATATACTAAATAAAAATGTAATATTAATGTCATATATTAATAATAATGTAATATATTAAATAATAATGTAATGCAGTAAAGATGTATACAAAATTAGTATACAGAATTTAATTTAAAAGAATATATTTAAATTTGAATGTATTTGTCAATTTAAAGTATAGACATTATATTGTGCACATTTTGCTTCCTGCTGAATAAGAATAAGAAAACTTTCTTTTTTGCTAAATAAGATTTAAAAATAAGTATATTTTAGTCAATTCATCATTCACTAGTGATACAGTATTAAATACACACAACAAATTAATCAAGTATTATTTATGTGCTATAGTAATTAGTAACACAATTTGCGAAAATAAAATTGTGTTGTTAAAATAAATTTTGCTTTTGAAGTAATACAGAAATGCACTGTTAATCAATCGTATAATACAATTGCCAAACTTTAATTGTAGTAATATTAATTTACTCATTGTCATGATAAAAAGAAATGGCACTCTATTTATATAAAGGAAATTACATATTCTAAGTCTGGATCATTTGATTTTAAAGTAGATATTAATTCCTTAGCTTCTTCATAGGCTAATTTAAAATAAGGAGCAAATTTATATTGACTTCCTACAACGTGTATAATGCCCCACTGTTTGCATAACTCCAATTTTAATTGTTTAGGAAAAAATGTTGAATTGTATAACTTAAAAATATATTCATAGAGATTGTATAACGGAAAAATTTCGTCGCATCTGTATTCATCATTCTCGCCGTAAATTGCCATAGCTAAAAGTAATGCAAGTGAAATATTAATCTTATCTATCGCAGGAATAATCGAAGCAGCAAATGGTAAATAAAAAATTTTGGGAATATTAAGCCTATCTAATGTTATATAAGGAGGTAAAGAAATGACATTATGATCAAATATCGCGAATGTTATACTCGGATAAGAAAGTGCTACTCTATGCCAAGTGATGTTTCCATATGTCATATAAGTATTGACAGAATTTGACTCGTCATATATATTGTATTTTATTTTCATCATTCTGAGTAAACGAATTACTGGGAAGAATTTTTTGTAATCAGATCTTTTCCTAACGAAATATAGATAGCATATAATTATGACGTCAATATAAAACATCATATTATTAGAAAAAACATATTCCTTTTCTTCACTGCCCACTTTATACTTATAAACAAGTTTGTCAAGGTATGTAGGTGTTGCGGCAATCTTTTTCATAGTATTACCATGCATCTTCATCATATACTCGATAATGCATCTCGGACTGAATTGTTCAATAGGAACAAAATCGTTAGTTTTAGGAAACTTATCTAGTAGAGTGATCTCGAGGATGCTGGAAGGCCGACCAGAAGAAGACTTTTGCAGTATGTCGATCAACGTGCGTAGTGGACAAATATTCTTCTCGTAAATGTGTATTTCTTTAAATGCAGCTAGATTCATTTTTATCAGAGCCAATTAACACGTATTAATAATATGTATGAATATCCGTATGTATAATCAATTTCTAATTTTGTAGTACGAAGTAGCTCTCCAAAATCACTCGACGTCTGCTTGTTTCAGATTTTTCTTAAATGCTTATTGTTTAAAATTGTATAAATCCAAACTCCAAAATACACATGTTCAAATTCAGCATCTATATTTCAAATTAAATACATATAATTTCAAATAAATACATATAATTTCAAATAAATATATATAATTTCAAATCGAATGCTAATAAAGACAATTTAAAGTAGAAAGATATTTTTACACATTTATTCTTATACAATTATTCTACTCAACGATCAAAGGTATAATAACAAAAAGGTATAATAACGAAAAAAGGTATAATAACAAAAAGAACATTTGTTCAAATGAAATTAGCTTTCATATCTCGAGGTATTAATAATAAGAACCGTTTGAAATACATACCTTATATACAACTAATGAATATTTCAAAAGAATATTATTGATTTGCGAAATATGTCGTTTTATTTTAATTTCAGGAGAGATAGCACCTGTTCTAGTAAACAGCAATCAAAAGACTGTTTCCGAAACTTAAGAGCCACAAAGAAAATAAGAAAAGGTCATACATGTATACTTCTAATCATACTAGCTACACACACACACACACACACACACACACACACACACACACACACACACACACACACACACACACACACACACACACACACACACTAT